TGTGTGTGTGTGTGTGTGTGTGTGTGTGTGTGTGTGTGTGTGTGTGTGTGTGTGTGTTTTAATGATGGAATAAACGAAACGATGTGTGTGTGTGTGTGTGTGTGTGTGTGTGTGTTTGTGTTTTAATGATGGAATAAACGAAACGATCACGGAGTTGAAGTCCTAATGTAGTTCGCTGCAGGATGGTCCGAGTCATGTTTGATGATTTTTTTTTTTTTCCCTGGCTTCTCGCGTTTTCCTTTTCTGCATCATCGTTTCTTCCCTCTCTTTATCTCTTCTACTGTATGCACACAAACTCACAGCGAACACTGTACGAACACTAACTCATAGTTCTATTTTCTAAACTCTTCCTATCCCAAGGGAGGCCAGCCTGCACCACAGCTAACTAAATAATCCAAACCTCTACCTAAACCCAACGGAGGTCTAGCCAGGCTGTGAGTCCATAGAATGTGAGGGGAGAATGATCTTAGCCATCGTGAGTCCATAGAATGTGAGGGGAGAATGATCTTATAGAGGTAGGAGAGCGAGAGGGGTCTCTATAAGAGGGGAGAATCCATAGCCAGGCTGTGAGGGGAGAGAGAGAGGGAATCCCACCTGGACTTACCTGTTGATGATGCAAGTAGACAGAACCAGCACTTCGCTTTTGAAGGCCGGCATTGTCCTGTTCGCTGCTATTCTTCATCTCGCTGGCTACAAGGCCTGTTTCAGAGTGGCTTTGAGCCTTTGACTTGGAAAGGAAACTTTAAGGGACTCAAAAATCAACGAGGTGTTGGGTTGGCAGAGACTGACGTCATCATTGGTATAGTTGAGGGCCTTGAGGCGTGATGACTACTGAGTTGGCGATCGGTGGAACCGTGGAAGACCAGCCTGGTGGTGATTACCGAGAAGTGACAAGGCATTGTCACAGTGACAATTGATTATTGTCTTGTCATCAATGTCATGACGGACTTACTCATCTTCGCCTACTCGTGTACTTTTCTAAGTTTTCTTACAAGTTTTCTGACTAAACTGCTAGTATAATCTCGCGACTGGTTCCATTCGTCGAGCGACGAGCATTGTGATAAGCTTGCATGCCGATGATGACGGTCTGCTGAGCCAGACTGAGAAAGCTGACGGCCGGTGATCAATAAACTGGTTTCAAGTTGATGATGGGAGGAGAATTATGGTGTGGAGTATAGCGGTTATAGCCTCACCAAGGCTAAGGAGGGTAAGGTTGAGCATTTGAATCCTTTTAAGTTTTGCCCCGAAGTCGATTAACAACCTACCAGGCTACCACCCAGCCATTCTGAGACAGGCAGCTAAATTGAGCTAATGATTGCTTATCCTTAATAGCCCCTCCCACGCCGAGTCGCTGAGACAGGCAGCTAATGATTGCTTATCCTTAATAGTCCCACCCACGCCGAGTCGGTCAAAGCCATAGTTGGGCTTCTTCCACCCAGCTTCCAGCTCTTAGGCTCGCAGCCTGTGGCAGCGGAAGCTGGTGTTTTCCCACCAGGTTTCGCTGGATTGACTATGGAATCCAAATGATGGAGGTGTCTATAGCGTTGCCAAGGCCCGAGGCTTAACCCCCCAGTACACCGCCCCAGCCTTGCTGGAAAAAAAAAAAAAAAGCAACTTGATACCAAGCAAAGTTAAACCAAAAAAAGAAGAAAAAAAAAAGCAACTTGTCGTCTATGAAAGTTTCGGAGGCTCGGCCTACCGGAAGGTCCGGAACACAATGGCTGGCGGCGCGCCAGCCAGCTAAAAAAGAAAGGGTTTCGGAAAAGCGTGGCGCGCAGTAACTTAAAGGCGCCTCCAGGCCTGGGTGTACTCCCATTACTGGGCGGGTGGACGATTTGAATTGAATCCATTTGCCCCCGTATGAGTCGATGACAACCTACCAGGCTACCACCCAGCCAGGCCGAGACAGGCAACTCCTTGGTCGCTCGGACTCGCTCCCACTTGCTGAAAGCCATGATTATAGCTCAGAGCAGAAGCGGGCGAGCAAGCTCGTAGGCTCGCAGCAGAAGCTGGCGATTTCCGAGCAGGTTTCTGGGACGAGTACTCTATCTGAGGTCACTGTGAAGGATTAGTTCTCTCTGCTGAGCAGTCCTAGTATGTGGAGAGGGGGCACTCTTGCAGAGGAGGCTGGGGTCATTTAGTCTCCCGTGCCGGAGATTCACGGAGAAGACCTGTGCCAGGAGACGAAAGGAAGTGTGTGAGTTCTGTACGTGGGATTCTGATGACAGTGATAATAAGATGGCTTTGACAGGGCTGAGTGAGAATGGTTCAGCTGGGGTTTGTTTGGGGGCATAAGAGGGCTCACTGTTGCACAACCTTGTTGAAAGGATCTGCGGCTGGAATCTGCTATTGTTTACCGGGGACTCGGTGAACTTCCACTCTGTAGCCCATCTGCTATCACCTGTTTTCAAGGGAGAACTCTACATCAATCTTGTTCTGATTCATCACATTGGCCCGGTACTAAGTCTTGGTGAACGTCCACTCTGTAGCCCATCTGCTATCCACGAAGGGCCATGGGCCACGTGTGCAACAGCACGTTGCTGTGCATCTGTGTGCAGGTGTGTGTGTACGAGTGTGTGTGTGTGTGTGTGTGTGCGTGTGCGTGTGTGTGTGTGTGTGTGTGTGTGTGTGTGTGGGTCTGTGTGTGTGT